CTGGAAAGGGTGCCCCGGCCGGATTCGAACCGACTGCCTTATGCGATGAACGCGCATAGAGCCTGCCAGACGCTTAGCCACTGCGTCACGAGGGCATGTATTATTGGGTGTTAGTCAAGCTAGTTCAAAGGTGCATTCCCTAGCTATTAATAAAGCAAGGGCCCGCTTATATTCCTTAATAATAATGACTCTTAGGCTTTAGAGCCGCTAATTATAACCCCGTCTAGACAATTTTCCCTTTTTCCTTTTGATTGCAGGTTTGTATTATAAATAATAAAAAAATCCTGGTTTGTATAGTGAGCAGAATACCAGCCCCTTAACTTCGGTCATCCCGAAACCCAAAGAGGAGGCAAAATGTATGCATAAAGCATAAACTAGCAGAGGGCTTACTTCAACAGATTGTGGATTTCGGTTTCACTAGAATTAAGGCTGGTGGCTGACATAAGAAATAAGCCACCTAATACTCCGTAGTTACCAGTAAGTTCCTCTCGGCTTTTAATAGTGTCTCATATCCCCGCTATCATAACACCCGGACTTAGTCAAGTTTGAAAAAAAGAAGCTTATTGGCTGGCTCGGGGAAAATTTCCATTCTATTTTCGTCAAATTTAATCGTGAGCTGATGGGTCTCTGGCCAACGACTAGCATGATTGTTAACAAGAAACCGTAGGACAAAGATGATGCCTGGTTGGTTGGTTCGGCAGAATTCCTATTTTGGTAAATACTAAAACGTCTATGCCGTTTTCCTATGTCTCTATAGAAATATTTGAGGGAATATAAGCTATACACATAGACTCATACCAACTATAAGAAGCAAAAGCTCTGCTGCAATATCACGCATAGTTTCCATCATCCACCAATCGATCCATCCATTATCTATCACGCTCAGTGAAGAATTCCAAAGAGAAACATTCACAAAAACTATTACGAACATCCTCTGAGCTATAAACTCTCATCATACGCAATGAAGAACTCCATTTTTACGAGCATCTTGGTTGGTTTTCTGCAGATTTTGCAGTGTTCGTCTTCACCAGTATCGCAAAGATGCTCTGATGTCGCTGCACAATGCATGAAGGCTGCCACTATACACCCTGAAATGTGTATTGATGCTGTTGGTCCCAGCTGCTTAGTTTCAGGACCTGGCGAGAGAGCCGAAGACGACGTATCGGGAAGACAGCTCTTTAAGCGTTACGAATATGACCAAGCTTGGGTTGGCGAGACGTTCAATTACGGAAATTTCGTTGCTACATTGCAATATCTGCAAAATAGTGGCAACGGGGAACTACTTCTTTCAGCTACCGCACGTAACCTTATCTCTACTATTACGGTATCATTGGCAAAGCAGCTGATTAAGAATTACGCTGGGAAGACTGGAGGTGCTGTCACCACTACAATCAACAATATACAGTATCGGTTCACTGTAACCGGTGCTGGTGTCAATGTCGACTCGATCACAGTGCAACAGTGGGAGAACACACTGGGGCCGCTTTTGGAATTTGGAGTTATTCACGGCTGGGATATATTGACTGGTCGTTTGGACATTGGACCTGGAGCAGAGTGGGTTACTCAGATTTACCGACTGACTTAAGTTCTAACCGACAAGTTGTCGCGACCCGGCTCTTATGGTCGCGACAATAGGCCTACAGGGTAGGCGACCCTGGATTAAAGTCAGTCCAAGTGACCAACCAGGAACTGATTATTAAAATCTTAAGATAATCTATAAGAGGATTATTTAGCTTTAGCAATAATCTAGCCTAGTGTCACGACCCGGCTCTTAAGGTCGCGACAAGGGGCCAACAGGTTGGCCCGGACCGGATTAACTTTAATCCTTCAACCAATCAGGGAAGGATCGAGACACAACTTCTCGATCCAACAGCGGATCGATAAATCATTCATCGATCCAGGGAAGGATCGATATTCCATACATCGATCCAGTCCAGGTCAACTGGATATATAAGTTCACTTCATGCCACTCATTAGAATACTTAGATAGCCAGTTGTTATCACAGCGTTTACAATACAATCAGATTGGAACACAGACATCTATTCTTATTCGTATTACTAGCTGGTGACCAGTTTGCCCGTCTACCGACCTGACCGCTCCGCCAACATAAACCCTAGAACCATTCTGAGGTTTGTCCCTTGGGAACAGCTAACCTATACTAACCAATAGGACCCGGTTCGTCACACGATAACAACTCTTGTTCGGACGGTCACCTTGGACCTACGGGCAATAAGAGACTTCAGCAGACGTGAATGCCAACATTCAACGTACCTGAAAACGACACTGATTACGAAGAGCCAAGCTTCAAGTGATCATTCAGACAGCGACATCGAGCTTGAAGACGCGCCAACCGAAAACATGGTCTCTCAAGCCGATTACGATAAAATGAAGGCCGAGTTTGAAGCTCTCAAGACACAGCTTCAGGACCTCCAAGATGGGAAAAGAGAGAAGGGCGAGGTTCTTAAACCAACGAAACCCGAACCCTTCGACGGAGATCCACGCAAAATGGACAAATTCTTCTCGGAACTCGCAACCTATTTCGGATACTTTCCTCGTACCCTGAAGGACGACGAAGACAGAGTCATCTTCGCAGGCAGCCGCCTTGCGGGAGACGCCGAAACATGGTTCCGACCCATCATGCAGAATTACGAGGAAGGAAAGATTGATTCGAAGAAGCTCAAAACGCAAACCGAAGAAATCTACACCAAGTACGCGGAATTTCAGGAACAACTCAGAAAGTCTTTTGGCACTGTGGATAAGCAACGAGAGGCTGAGCAAGAACTTCGTTTCATCACCCAAAAGGGGCCACTGAGCAAGCATACTTCAACCTTCCTACGCCTGTTGACTAAAAGTCGACTGGACTGAAGAAACTAAGAAAGAAGTCTACTATAACAGTGTGAAACCCGAAGTTAAGGATGAACTCTTTAAAATCGACCGCAAAAAGACAACCTTCATCGACTACACTCAAAAAGCTATTAAGATTAACAATCGCAATTGGGAACGACAGAAAGAACGGAAGCGAGAAAAGAACGGAAACTTCCACAACGTTCAACCAAAGCGAAACCAAGCCAACCAAGGAAAGAAGCGAAACGAATATGTTGCTTCTTCTAACGATGGACGGCCAGGGCCGATGGACCTCAGCACCATCAAGGCACAACATAAGAACGTTGAATGCTACAATTGTGGGGAAAAGGGACACGTGAAGAAATACTGCCGAGCTCCTAGAAAGAACGGCAATAAGAAATTCACACCCGTCCCAGAACCCAAGGAGAACCGAGCCATTAACACTATACGACCCTCGGTAGACCATGACATACTGCACTTCTCAGCATGCCACAACGACAAGTGCCAGACGCACCTCAGTGATAAACAAGGATCAGGATAGTACCCCCAGGGGCGTACACAAACCTTGAACACACTTGAAGAGATCACCCAAACGCACCCAGAAAAGAATGGGATAGCGGAACGAGACACAGCGTCCCTAACGCAATACGACCCTTGCGAAGGAATGACTCAGGAAGAAATCAACGACCTTAAGAAACATATGTGCGACCAATGCGGGTCAGTGGAACCCAAAAGCATTTACCACCCCTGTAAAATGACTACAGCGAACTAGGAACGATACAAAGATCGATACGGAATCCAAGGTATCATCGAAGAAAACCAACGCTACGACGAAATTGTACGACAAAAAGAACTCGAGGACCACCAGAAACTCCTCAAACGATAGGGACAGATCAAACAGATTAATCTAAGTACCGCCTACGACCGGATCCAATTACCCGGAAATCGGTTTCGACAATACATCGAGACCAATGCAAACGAATACCCGGTGGCCAAGTCACTAAAATCAGCCATCTACTTCGTCGACGACATTCTGCTCACAGACCAATGTAACGAAGCCAACATTGTCAACTGCAAGCTACTACTGTGTAAACAACATATCATAACCAAGCTTAACGAATAGCACGAGGACCACGGAGCCGCCGAATGCGGATAAGAAGAATTCTCGCTTTACAACAAAGACCGTTACAAGAAACATCAGTACCAACGCCGAGCCCTCGCATATGTCACCTACAACCTGGAACGACAAGGATTCAACCTTGTAAAGCACGGCAACGACAACGAACTACGAGGAATCAACTGGAACGACCTTCGGAAATACCACAAGCTCACCGCCAGACACGTACCCAAGCCCGGATGCACCTGGTGCAAACGCTATAACATTCGAAACAAAGAACCAGGATGGATTACCTCAGACCTAGACAACATCGATATTAACCCTTACGGTAATAATTATTACAACGGCGCCGATAATGCAACCTACTACAACTTGAACACCCTCACAGGAGGAAAGAAACTACGAAAATTCCAAGTACCAGGCACCTTGGAAGGACATCCGATTACAGTCTACATAGACTCCGGAGCCACGATAAGTTACATTGCGCCTTAACTGGTTAATCGCCTATAGTTAACCTACCGTAAGAAGGAGAAACTATACACCCTTGCGAGCATCAAGAAATAATAATTCACCTATAATAACGGAACTGTCGACCGCGAGACTGATCTCCTCGAGATCTAGTTTAGTAAAAATCAAGGATATGTTTAGTTTTAACGTTGCCAACATCGCAGGATATAATGTACTCTTAGGATACGATTGGCTTAAGTCGCGCAATCCCGACATCAACTGGATCAGAGGCCAGGCGAGGTGGCGAACTCGCCCTGAACCAATTGATTTCAGAGACACACTGTAACTAGATCAGGAGGATCGACAGGATGCCACGACATCCCCGACGACAGGATCGGTGACCCCTGCATCATATAAAGAAACGAAAAAACACACGGAAAAAGAAAAAGTCACAAAAAGGTACGATTTAAGGAGCCAGTGAAGCTCCCAAGGACAGTTAAATACGTCGAGAAACCAAAGAAGAAACAGCTCAGATTTCTCAACTCAATTATACAGAAGGTCAAGGAACTATGCCACCGAGACCAACAGACACCGGAACGTTTGAAAAACGTACCAACAGACCTCCAGCATATGCCAGTCTTCAACGAAGAACTAGACACTGGACTACCAGAACACAGCCAATGGGATCATGAGATCGAACTCATAGACGACAAAGTCCCAACGTTCAACAAGATCTATAACCTAAGTACCACCGAGCTCAAAACACTCGATGAATGGATTAGGGACCAGCTGAAGAAGGGCTACATCAGACCTTCTAAATCCTCAGCAGGATATCCAGTCATATTTATGCCCAAGAAGAACGGTAAACTTCGACTTATTATAGACTACCGCCAATTAAACGCGATAACCAAGAAAGATGTCACGCCGCTACCACTGATTTCGGAAATCAGAGACCGGCTTACAGGAGCCAAGATCTTCACTTCATTAGATCTCAAAGGAGCATACAACCTCATTCAAATCAAGAAAGGCGACGAATGGAAAACCGCCTTCCGCACAAGATACGGACTTTACGAATGCCAGGTAATGCCTTTCGGACTCACAAACGCCCCAGCATCTTTCCAGAAAATGATCAACTACGTGTTGCGAGACTACGTAGATCATTTTATCATTATATACCTTAACGACATCCTCATCTATTCCAAGGACTTGGAGGAACATAAGGAACACGTTAAGAAGGTACTACAAACACTCTAAGACAACAAACTCCTGGTGGAACCTGAGAAATACAACTTCTACACGCAGAAGGTCACATTTTTAGGACATGTCATCACCCCAGGCAGAGTCCAGATGGACCCTGAGAAACTCAAGGCGATCAACGATTGGGAACCGCCACAGAACGTCAAGCAAGTACAAAGCTTCTTAGGACTTGCCAACTACTATCGACGTTTCATCAAGGACTTCTCAAAAATCGCCACGCCACTCACGAACTTGACGAAAAAAGACGTCAAATTCAAATGGACACGAGACGCTCTAGCAGCCTTCAAACGCCTTAAACGAGCTCTCACAAGCGCACCAGTACTCATGATGTTTAACCCAAACAAGCCCATTACGATCGAAACCGACGCCTCGGATTATGCAATCGGAGGAGTACTCAGCCAACCAGACGAAAAAGGGAAACTTAGGCCTATTGCCTACTTCTCTGAGAAACTAAACGGACCAGAACTCAGATACCCCATCTACGACAAAGAGTTCATGGCTATATACCAAGCGCTCAGCAAGCAGCATTGGAGACACTACTGTGAAGGAAGCTGATTTCCAGTAACAATCCTTACGGATCACCGGAACATCACTTACTTCATGACGACACAAGAACTATCCCGCAGACAAGTCAAGTACTATGAGCGACTTTCCGAATTCAAGCTCATCATCAAACACTGCAGCGGATCAGACAACGGACGCGCTGATGCACTCAGCAGACGCCCAGACCACTTCCAGGAAATCCCGGAAGTCAAGGCACAAATACTGGAGAAAAACCAGTATGGAGACCTAGTCATCCGATCGATCGACACCTTGTATCAAATCGAGATGGACGACCCGATCATCGACGACATAAAGGAACACGTCAAGAACTGGGAAAACGAACAATACCCAGAAGGTGTTTCTATGGACACTGGATACCCGACACTAGATGGACTCATCTGGGTACCAGAAGACTTGCGAAGCAAAGTGGTGAAATCAGTCCACGCACACAAGCTCAACGGACACCGTGGAATCCGAAAAACCACACAGCAGATCGCACGATACTTCAAATTTGAAGGTATCAAGAAATGGGTACAGAAGGTTGTATCAGAATGCATAACATGCGGACGAGCTAAGGCACATCCACCTCACGGTCGAGGGCATCCAAAGTATCAAGCACTCTCTGGAAGCGCGATATCCAGAACTGTGGCACGCATTATTAGTTGCGATATTCAAATACACTAGTTTTCCATTGTAAAGCATAGCCTGATTAAACATGAGCTGGGTGGGACCAGCAGGGTAACGAGGGTGGAAAGTGCCGGACTTACATGGTCGAGGCGGTGGGCAATCATACCAACCCATTTGGAAGCGTTAAACGTCTCTTTCCCAATAGCTGTCTTGCACCATGACGTAGTGAATTGGTTCCACTGCTCGTTTCTTAATATTATCAACATCCGATTTGGGAGCTTAGTTGCGTTTTCACCATCTAGCTTCAGGGCGGCTCCGAGTCTTTTGCAAATATCGCGGGTATTATTTTCACCACGCAAAACCCCCTCTGGACTGTTGAACATCGACACAAGCTGAGTCCAAATTTGCCCATCGCGATCAGCTAGCTTTAGTTCTTGTCTATTCATGCAGAGCTGAAGCCGTATTTCGCTTGGGAGCGTGTCTGCGACAAAATTCTTGGTAAGTTTGTCGTTGCAGGGTAGGCTCTGCGGCTCGAGGTGCAGCTTCAGTACGCACCTTTGTCATAAATCTCGCAAACCCACCATCTATTGCTTTTGTCGCTGAGGCCAAGCGCTTGCTGAGCTGCTCTTAGGCGATGCTGCCCGTCAAGAACCTCTGCAAGCTCATTGGTGGCTTCAGCCCATGCCCGGAAGTCAAGTGGTTCGGGGGTTGGATATGGCCGATTATTCGCTCCGTCGTATTCCGAGCTCCCTGCTGCATTTCCCGTCTGTCCCCGGCTCTGGTGAAGATAAGCCTTGATGGCGGTAACGGCCTGGGCGCTGCATGCAACCTTCATGAAATTCCCCTCGTCTTGCCGACCTATACCCCTGTTGACAAAGCTCTTGCATAGACTGTTTATGTGGCCTTCGTCTACTGGCCGGTTCTTCCCCTCTCTCCATCGCGTGGATAGGATATCTAAGGGCAGCTTCGCGACTGCAAGCAAGTGCGCGCTGGCTAAAGTTCGAGCAGATAGCAATTCCTCGATTACAATATCTCTCCCCAGATCAGAACCTCGGACGGCTCTGTTGCTCGGATTTGTCATGCTTGACGATGTCTGCTGCCGCTTCTTTAGTGGTCTCGACATAGTGGAATGACTGTTAGATGGGAATCGCTTCATGCTGCTATCCAGGTGAGTGACTGCGACTGTGATTTACTCAGTAACGAGATTCTATACCTGATCCCTTTTCTTCGGATAGCTCTTATTTATGCACTAAGAAGGCGGTGAAGTTACTCCACAGCTAAAGGCAGATGAAGAAATAGTTATTACATCCAGGGGCAAAAGCAAAAGTGGATCTAACACATGTCCAGAAGCAGAGATGGAAACAATCTACCTCCGGAGGTGGAGAGGGATTAATTTACACTAAGCTGCAGCAAGCTGTAAAAGTTGAAAGTCTACCTCCGGAGACAGAAGTAAGTCTATCCATGCCTAATAACAGAGGTGATATGAATTTACTCCTGGAGGTAAGAGAGGATTATTGGCATATACTAAGATTTTTTAACCTTAAGATTTTACCTTAAGCGGCAGCAATGGATTTTATATATGCCTATTTACAGAGGAACAGTCTGCCTCCGGAGGCAGAAGTTGGTTATGTTTAGAAGCAGAGGTGGAATCAGTCTACCTCCGGAGGCAGAAGTGGGGTTACTGTATTTAGAGGCGAGAGCGGGACTAACCTGCCTCCGGAGGTAGAAGTGGGAAGAAAAAAACAGCTACTATAAGGAACCTAACCCTACCTTGACGAGTCGGGGCCCCGGGGTATAATCGGGTTTCCTGCAGATCCCGAAGTTATCTAGCGCTGGCCCTGGGCTTGGCTTTGGCCTCGGCCTTGTCGCTGGCCCTGGCCTCGTCGGCGCTGGCCTGAACGCCCTCGTCGTACGGGATTGCCTGTGTCATCGCGTCTGGAGCAGCGAGCAGCATGGTCCCGCCACTTGCAATTCCCACAGCTGCTGCCAAAATGGCCGGGGAGTCGTACGCAAGTAGGGAAAGGGTTGGCGTAGCCATCGGCATCCAGTATCATCTTCTCCTGGCAAGCGTTGCACGGAGGGTCAGCGGCAGTACCTCGACTCTGGATGAGTAAGGCGTTGACGTACGAGTCGCGCATACCGATGATCTGGTCTGGTCGTACGCGGCCGCGAAGGAAAGTCACAACGTAGCTAGGGAGTCGGAGGACGGCATCTTGCAGGGAGTTCTTGATGTACGGCCGCAGCTGCTGCTGGGCCACGTTGAAATCAAAGAGGCGTGCGTCACCAGTCGAGGAGTTGTTCACGAGACTTGTCGGCGGTGGTGGCTGGGGAAGGAGAAACAAGGTCAGCTTTCGTACGAGGCATTACATTAGGTGCAGAGGGGAAAGAGAAAGGAAGAAAAGAAAGAAAGAGAAAGGGAGCAAGAGAGCAAGAGAGCAAGAGAGCAAGGGGGGGAGGGAAGGCGAGGAGGGAAACTTACGCCGTTGGGATTTGATGGCTGCTGGCGGAAAGCCACAAGCTGGGTGTTGTTATTCTGGCTGCAAGAGAGAGAAGCGAAGCAGAATCAGTAGCTGGCATTCGTACGAGAGAGAGGGAGAAGGCGAGAAAGGAGAGCGGGAGTGGGGGAATACCTGGCCATTGCAGTGCTATTGGTCGTACGAGAGTGAAAGCTGCTGTTGTTGGTCGGTAGTGGCGATGGTGATGGCGCTGTGTGATCTGTGCTGTGCTGTGCTGTGGTGGAGAGCGGCAAAATTGCTTCTTGGTGATGGCAGTTGGTGATATCGGGAGGGAAGGGGAAAGAGAGAAGGAATAGGGGAGAGAGATGCAGCCATTTTATCTCTGCCGTACGATCAAGGCGCCGGCAATCAGAGAGAGAGTCAGAAGAGTTAGAAGAGTGAAGAGCAGTTGAGAATACAAAGCAGGCGTGTTCGCTGTGATTGACGTACAGCTCAGATTGAACGTGCCGCTCATGTTCACCTCTCTTCCTCCTCGCGCTGATTCATTGCAGGAGCGGCAGCTTGGCCCTTCGTACGAAGCTGTTCAGCGGCGGCGCGCGCTGCTGTTACACTGCAGCCTTTTTCTTTTCTTCCATCTTCCATCTTCCATCTTCCATCTGAACACTCGCCGGCTTGAACGCTTGACCGTACGAGAGCGCCGCGCCGTAGTCCCCCCCTCGATCGGACGCGTATAAAGACCGATTGATATACAAAGGCCGAGTTCTAGAACCAAGGTTTGGAGACTGCTACCCTGAACGAATACTATCGAATGCTGGATCTCTTGCCCATACGAGAGCGCTGCTGCCGAACCACTGATTAAGCATACATAAAGACTAAAGACTGAGATAAGATCGAAAAGAGAGCATCCAAAGACCAGCTAGCCCGAACACTTACCTGTACGAAAGCGCTGCCGTAATCCCCTTGATTAAATAGATATAAAGACTGGTTATAGTTGCCGCCTCGGGTGGAGGACGACCAACCTCTCCGTCATACACAGAGAATCGGGAGTCCCCCCAGCGTCAGTGTGGGTGGCACAGACCAGACTCCGCACAGCGGCTCGCTTCGCGGGGCTAGACAGGAACCACCCGATCAGTAGACGCATCGACAAGAAACTCTCTCCCAGGGTTCCCCCCACCCGACTGCAGCGCACCGCAGCCCTGGTAGGGAAAACAGTCCGACCCTCCCTTTTCGCCAAGAACAACGGAGCGGTCCGAGCAGGCCCGGACTTCAGAGGCCTACCGAAGTTAGAGGCAGCGGAAAAACACCTAGAACTACTCGACGGCCTCCCCAGGTCTACCCTCCTTGCTTACTCGGACGGTTCACAGGACAAACAAGGCAACACGGGCTGGGGAGCCGTCACATACCAGGATTTCAAAAGAACTACAGCATGCGGTCCCCTCGCCAACGCGGAGGTCTACGACGCCGAGGCGGTGGGCGCCTTCGAAGCTATGAAGCTAGCTAGGACGCGCGCCCTCGCGAACCCGGACATCCGAGAGATTCTACTCTTCCTGGACAACTCAGCGGTGGTGGATGGTATACTAGGACCAACCCCCGCCTCGTCCCAGGGAGCCTACATGGGGCTACGCCAAATCGCCCAGAAACTACTCCCACGGGTGACCACGAGGGTAGCCTGGGTCCCAGGTCACAAAGACGTACTAGGAAACGAAGAAGCCGACCGACTGGCAAAGGAGGGTTCAGAACTCCGTTGCCACTCGAGAAACTGCTCCACTATTACCTTCATCAAAAGGTGGGTGAAAAAGAAACGCAGGGAAATACAGGACGACAACTGGAACGACAACTACCCAGAGTCCTACAAGGCAGGTAGATGGGGCCTCTACAAAGCCCCCTCTATGCCCCCGGAGCTACATCTCCCACGCCCAATCCTACACAGGCTGCTAGCCGAAAGGTCTAGACACGGGGACTTCACAGAATACCATGAGAGATTCGGACACGACACCAGGCCCACCTGTAAATGCGGGGAGCCAAGGATACAAGGGCACTTCGTAAAGTGCCGCATGGTAGCCCCTTTCCTCCCCGACGTACCGGAGAGGGAGGCGCGCTTCGGAACCACCCACATCCAATACCTCCTCGGTGACGGGGGGTATAAGGACTTCCAGAAACTAGTGGAGGAGACAAGCCCATACGGCCCCCCCCCTACAGAAACAGACACGTAAAACAGATTGATACTTCCCCATTTCCTTTGTCACATTGAAACGTAGCGAACGCCCGATCTGAACTCGGCGGCTCCTACCGTCCTAGTGCCTAGATGAGGACTTGTGTAACTAGATTACTTAGTGGACGTTAATAATAAAACAAACAAACAAACAGTTGCCGCCTCGGTTAAATAAATACAACGACTGATTATAGTCCCCCCCTTGATTAAATAGATATAAAGACTGATGAAATATACAAAGGCTGAGTTTCAGAACCGAGGTTTAAGGCCGCCAGCTCTTAAACACTTGAGTACTTAAACACTAGATCCAGTCCCTTGCCTGTACGAGAGAGGCGCTGTAGTCCCCAGACCCAGCATAAAGCCGGCGTTTCCAGGCAGAGCGTTCAAAGACCACCACGCTCCCCAAGGCCGCCGTCTTGAACACTTGCCTGTACGAGACTGCTGCTATAACCCTCAAGTTTATATATGTAACGGCCGAGTTTAGGGATAGCATTCTAAGACAAGCCCCCTTTAGTAGGAGGGAAAAGAAATCCATATATAATACCATGCCTCTGTTGCTTTTTAGCCAGCGGTTTCATTATACTACTATACCTACGCTTACACTCTTACATATACGAGGCTATTACCCACCACTTACTTACTCGCCTGCTTACCCGCTCACTTATCTTTACCTTATCTTACTTACACACGCACCCAATCTCACTTACTCTCACTCGTACGCACTCATCTTACTTACCTTACTTATCCCACGTATCCTACTTATCCCACTTGCTGAACTTGCCACCCTACTCTTGCCGAAATGCAGCGTACGATGCTACGACACCGCTGTATGATACAGAGAGCAGCCGCTTCACGTACGGCACTGGCATATTCCCCATCTATCAACCGATCAAGCTGTCAGCTACTAAGATATTCCACCTGGCTTTTGTCTCCTCCTTGGTGATCCTTAGCGATCCTACTAACCCCAGCCTATACTCCTATCCTATCCCTTTTCCCTTTGCTCCCTATTCCTCCTGCTACTGCTATTAATTTGTACGATATCCAGCTACTACTTTAGAAATCTAGGGGAGTGCCCAGCGGTCTCTTGTCCCCCCTGCTCCAGCTTCTTACCACCAGTCCCTTATTCCACTCTCTTGCCGCCGCCGCCATCGTACGAAGCATCACGCTTAGAGCAGCAGGCAGCCTAGCTACGCCATACACAGTTCCCACAGCTACCGCCAAAGTATGTTTGTTTGTTTGTTTTATTATTAACGACCATAAGTATCTAGTTAACTAGATACACAAATCCTCATCTGGGCAATAGGTCGGTAGGAGCCAGTTTCCGTCTTAATCACCTCCACGTAGTCTTGTTCCTTCGAGACCGGCCTAGCTAGACAGCAAGCTTATCAACCAATAGCCGGAGGTGTTGACCCCTGTTCGCTACGTTTCAGTGTGGTAAAGGAAAGATACAGAATTTTTATACTAGCAAGCCAGTATAAGGGAAAAAACCCCTCTCTACAAGGGGAAAAACCTAGTGTGTCGTCGTAGGCTAGCTAGCTAGCCTATAGCTGCTGCGGGACCTAGAGGGGTCTTCAGCGTTGTGTCTTCACAAGCCGGGGGGCTTGCTTATTGGTTGTGTCGTGGGGAAAAGTTAGCTGGAAAGGGTGCCCCGGCCGGATTCGAACCGACTGCCTTATGCGATGAACGCGCATAGAGCCTGCCAGACGCTTAGCCACTGCGTCACGAGGGCCTACCGCCAAAGTAACCAAGGAGTCGTACGCAACTGGGGAACGGACTCGCGTGTCCATCGGGATCCAGCTTCATCTCGTTCTGGCAAGTCTTACAGGGAGGCTGGACGGCGGTGCCTCGGCTCTAGATGAGAAACGCATTTACGTACGAGCCCTGCATGCTGATAATCTAGCTGGGGGCTATTCGATCGTGCAGAAAGGTAATGGCGCAACCGGGCAGTTGTATAGCAGCGTTCTGAGAGGCGTTTCCAATGTATTGCCGCAGCTCTTGGTGGCTGATATTAAACTTAAAGAGCCGTGGGCTGCCGACTGTGACCTGTACGAGGCTTGTTGCTAGAGGCGGCTGTAGGAAAGAACAGAACAAAGACCAAGGGTCAGCTTCGTACGGGACTAAGGACTGAGGACAAAGAGATCGAAGATCGAAGGTCAAAGATCAAAGATTAAGGGGGGGAGATAACTTACTACATCCGGGCTAGACGACTGCAGCCACCGACAGAAGAGCAAAAGCTGGGCGTTATTCTGGCTGGAAGAAGGAAATGAGGTTAGTATATAGCTTTGTACGAGAGCGAGAGCGGCATGGGAATCTAGGGAGGAGAGGGGGGGAATATACCTGGCTATAGTAATACGCTTTCTTAATCTCTCGATCTTTCGATCTCTTATAGGAGGATAGCAAAGGGCCGAAGCTGTATATATAGTATTAGTAATTAAATATAAGTATATAAGTATATAAGTATATAAGTATATAAGTATATAAGTATATAAGTATATAAAAGTATAAAAGGTATATTAGTATAAAAGCAGCTGTAGAGTTTAATAAGGGAGGGGGGAGGGAGAAGAGGAAAGAGAACTTTAAAGAGAGGAAATACAGGTGCTTTTTTATTTACCTCTAGCGTATAATTAAAACCTGGCTACCTTAGGTAAAAGCAGGAGAGCTAGGCCCAGCAGTGTATTAGGGTAATTAAGCAAGCAGCCGGCTGTAATTTACATACGCCTGTACCTCAGATGCTTCCTGCGGCTTGTATAAGATAGGGAAGCCGGCAGCACCTTTTCCTATAGTATCTAAAGCAAGCCCTGCTCTCTCTTTTACTCTGATTCACTACTGAAGCAGCCGCTTAACCTCTCTCCCCTCGTACGCGTGCTCCTCTTCCCTACTGTTCGCTTCCTCTTATTCGTACGTAATTAAGTCCCCTTTTCCTCTCTCCTCCTTTACCCCCAGACCTTACAAAAGAATACTAAGATCACCAAGATCCCAGATCGGGGACTCCATTGGCCAACGCGTCATACGACAGCGCGTATAAGTTACGCAGGCTTACGTACAAAAGCCAGGATCCCCCTGAAGATCACTAAGATCCCCAAGATCCCCAAGATTACAGATTGCAAACTCCCTCCTCTTATATAATCCATTTTCTCCTTTATATATTTAAGCTTATCCCCAAATTTATAATCCCCCCTTCTACTAAGCTTCCTTTATATATTTAAGCTTATCCTCTAACTTATAATTTAATTCCTCCTTTATAAGGCTTCCCCTTTATACGTTTAAGCTTATTCTCCAATTCGCAATTCCTCTTCCTCTCGCTTGCTCTCTCTCGCCTCGTACGACCTGTCTTTTCTCCTTTATGCGTTCGAGCTCATCCTCCAATTTGCAATACCTCTTTCTCTTTCTCCCTCTTGAGCTTCCTCTCTCTCTCTTTCTCGCCTCGTACGATCCGCCTTTTCTCCTTTATGCGTTCAAGCTTACCCTTTAACTTACAATTCCTCTTCCTCTCTCCCTTAAAGCTTTCTCTCTCTCACTCCCCCCCAAAGGCTAGATGGGTCATGCGAGGTATCGTACAGCCGGCGTAAGAAGCCCAGTCTCTTCCTCCCTTTCAGTCTCTTTTTACCTCTTCCTTCTCTTCCCTTTTCTACTTTTCCTTTCGTGCGCAACTCACTCACTTACTCCCACCTTCTTTTTACCACTTCCTCTTACAGCCAGCACTTCCTTTTACAGCCAGCACTTCCTTTTACAGCCAGCACTTCCTCTTTTAGTAACCCTTTCTTATTCCCTTCTTATTCCCCTTACCCTAAGGCACCAGTCGTTCATCAAGCTGTACGAGACCCCTGCACTCATCGAGCCGTGCCCCCTGTAACCTTATGCACGGGCCACAATTTCATCAAGCCGTAGTACGACTTGATGAAGAATTGCGCAGTATAAAGGATAGGCACCGGTTCGTCACACTACTAGATTAATTATATAAAAAACTGCTAGTTTACTTTTAATAAGTATTATATATATTTAGCAGTAAAAAGCATTTTTATATAATAAAGTAATAATAGCCCTTAATTCCTTTTTCTTTACTTTTCTACTAACCTAAATAACCTTATTTTAGTAATTTATTAAGCTGTATAAAATAGTCTTTTTATTAAACCATACCCCTGGCTACTAAAGTATATAGGTTATAATTTTATTAAGTTATATAAGGGTTTATTTTATAAAGCTATATATTAAGTTATAGTACGAATTATTGCAGTATTGCCCTGTGGGCTCTGTAGTTTGCTGCTTTATATATTATGACGACCAAATAGCTCCAATTCATGTCTAACAAATTGCTATAGATTTTACTATATCTAGATCTGGCTATGAAGTCCAATGCATCCGGGCCCCATCCTGGTATTGGGCTACGCTACACGCGTATCTTCTGGAGATGTCTATTTCTGTTGAAGTTTCTCAATCTCTGGCTATAGCTTCATATGTGTTTAAATCGATTCTTCCGGTACTCCACCACACACTGCTACCCATTACCTCGACCAGTGCCATTACTAATACCACGGGGGTTGGTTAGAAACATGGATAGTATTAGTACATGTCGAGATGAGTACTTTGAGACTTACTTTTTGTGCCATACTCGATAGAATTTGCAATGAGATTTGGGGCTCCCCCACCATTGCCAGCGTCCACTTTAGCCTGCACCGCTGCTGCGTACCCATAGTATTGGCGCTGAGCTGGCCCGTCCGTAATAATGAGATTTCCGTTCTCATCGACTTTTATTAGGTTTGTTAGTCCTTTTCCACCTGCAAGGCAAATAAGGGGAGAACTTACGTCCACGCACGAGATGTGAAAGCTAGCAACTTGGTGTTAACGTACAGATATTGTCTGTTGTTTAACGGGCTGGGGTAGCTTACTTCATGTAGGATAACCATGCTTGGGGGTTGTATCTTGTCGAGGGCATCAAAGCCTGCTTGGAAGCCGTCTGCGACGATCGTTTGAATTGAGCGTGGGTCCGCATTGCTAAAAATCTTTGGGTTCATGTGCACATGATACTGGTCGCTGAAGTCTATTTCTCTCCCATTCAGTTGACCCTTTTTGCCAGCAAGGACCCAGGACCTGCCGAGGTCGAATGGTTTGGTATTCTTGTTCAACTTTGGATCGTAGCCTCGGCTTATGCTTATTGGGTAGTCCTTTGTCGATCCATCATCATCTGTGTACGTGTACGTGAACGCAGTGTCGAGCCATGCATTTCTGGCATCGTTCCACTGCAGATGATCTTCGTCGCAGAATATGTGATAATGTTCTTTCGCTGTCTCTATATTCCCGATGAGTCCAAGGGTGATTGCGATTGGCGCAAAGTCCTGTTCTCTCCATATCGGGAGCAAGCCGGCCTTTACTTCTTCAGAGTATGAGCCATCCAGGAGATATTTATTGGCAGCTGTGAAAAGAATCAAAAACTTGAATAATGCCAAATGCGACATTGGATCATGGCCACATGTTTCCAGATTCCTGGGGCCTTACCCTCTGCCACCGTCAGGGCTTCGTCAATGGCGTCTTCCAGATTTGTAGATACAGATTCGTCAGTGCACTCCAAGAAGATGAGTGCCGACGACTTTGATACCTTCAAGGCTATTACAAAAAGGTAAAACGGATTGATATATATCATGTCGGCGAGTAAGAGCATATAAGTGCAATAATGATTTGGCTACAAAATGTGAATTCAGAAGGGCCGGCTCATGGTGACTGGTCAAAGTAGATAACGGAGACCAGTACGGAGACCAGGACGGAGTACTGTTATACATTGGTTCCTGGTATGGCTGCATAGCCCTGCTCCTCGGGATGCTGGAACTTAGTTGGACCAACAGTCTATTGGCGAAGGATGCGAAGGATGCGAAGGATGCGAAGGATGCATCGGCTGGGATAAAATTGCATTTTTGGCTACTTCTGTGGACCATGTACCTGTACTCCGTACGGAGTTTGCCTGGTTCATATCATGTACACGGTACCTGTACCGGTATATACTCGGATTTGTCAGCGTCCTATCTATCTAGGCTCCCACTGGAACGGCGCCCGGGTGCCGCGATAAGATATTTATGAACCGCCTCCCGCCCTATTGGCTGTTCACGCTCAGCGCGACGGAAGTTGCAATGTAATCTTAATCCAAGCTCACATTGCAAAAGTAACTAAGTGAAGCAATCATGATATTCTATGGAAATATCCTCGTCTATACCTGTTCATGCTCTTCAATATGTCTCCAAATTGTCCCCATACCACGTCTGGTAGCTTCGTGGGGGTTATTTTCCATTTCCCACCTTACCTCTGCTTCCACTTGACCTGCCTCAGCATTGTCCCAGTCAATGTAGGCCATCATCTCTTCTTTTGTCCACGCCCTTCTTCCACCTTGAGGTAAAAGCAGTATGGACCCATTTGTTTGTAGTCTTGGCACCAATCATATAGCTCTTTCCGATATCGCAATGTTAAGCCCATTGCTCTGCGATACGCTCGGCTTGTCTTCAAGCTTCCCCTCGGTTGGTTTTTATACCATGCCAACCGTGCTGCAACATACCGCTTATATATAGACTCAGGAGCATAAGGTGGCCAAATCTTCCTTTGCGTTCTCGGGGGATGGCGCTATGGATTGCTGTATTTCGCGTCGAGCTGATACAGAAGCAAGTGAGCTTACCCCTGACGGTATCGGTGACACTCGAAGTGAGGGTGGCTGATGTTGGGGAGGTGGGTATTTGACTACTATCGTATCGTGGATTATTTCTTGAGATGTGTCTTGAGGCTTATATCGAGGAGTATGTGCGTGCACACATTGGTGATCACACTGTTGCTATAATCGCATTCAGGATGAATGAAAGGGTCCCTGTTTCACGCCGCGCTAGGAGCTGTGCTCCTGTTATCACCAGCCGATGCGTTATTCTTCAACTCGTCAAAGCGTTTTGCCTTGCGTCGACTCACACATGAAACTTATTTGAAAAAGACGGCCACACAAAGAACTCCACTAGTTTTACTGCACTAGTACAGAGGCGAAACCAGCTAGATAGTATTAACGGTGGCATAAGCAACTATATCTAAGCCCGGAATGCTTGCCGGATTGTTGCTATAGTACATGCTCATGATGCTAGAGGCCACACTCTGGTAGTAACACGAACCCCCAGTGGTACTTGGTGCCGGATCATCTGTAGCGACACCCGTCTCAATGCCGGTACATATGCATTTATCGTAATACGTAGCGCTACACGCCTGATCAAGTCCACCGTCGCAGTTGTTGTCACCGCAATCAGGCGGCGCATCCGGACAGCACGTACAGCCGTTGATGTCCCCGCTCCCGGCGCACTGCGACTGGCCGTTGTCGCCGCCACACGTAGCGTCGGAGCAAAGCAGCGGGTTGTTGGGACAGTCTTCCTTCTCGCGGCACGGGCAGCCGGCCTGGGGGGGTTCCGAGCAGAGACCTAGGCCGGTTTCATCGCCACCGCAGTCGTCGCAAACTTGGTTCTCTCCTTCGCATTCGCTGTTGTCCAACTTCGCGCCAGGAGGCAGAGCTACTGGGGCCGCAATGGCGGCCAAGATGAGTGGCGGCCCGATTAAACCTAGCGGTCATCAGTTACCGCAGCACCATGAATAATATATAACTTTATGCCACTCACATTCTGGATACCAAGCCACGCCACCGGCATACAGCCTGGCAGCTCCCGTCTGCATGGCTACCGTGCCATCACTGAGCGTAGCAGGCTCTGTAATGGTAATAACTGTGCTTGCTTGCAGATTTGAATAGTTGCTGTAGGTCAGAGGCTCCCAGCATATAATGCCCGTCGTACCGTCAACGACGGTCGTCGAGTTGATACCGGGATCTGGAGGAGAAGAGTCGGGCTCGCAAAGGCACAACCTTCGCCGGGGCCAAAATGGTTTGCTTGCACAATATCCCTTGGACCATCTGTCCTCGCCACCGCACTTACTGCAAGGCTGAATAGGGTCGCCCCAGTCCTCGGGGCAAAGATAGCCTAGCGGTATTTGTTCATGGTAGTATTGCCGGCGGTGCTTATCGTGAGGTTTGCGTAGTGGCCGACTAGGCTGGAATACTCCAGTTTCCTGCGCGTGGACCGTCGCAGTGGCCCGAGGATAGGCTTGGGGAAGTGTAGCTGCTTTGCCACTGGATATGACTCCAGCAAAAGATAAAATAGCAGGCAGGGACAATGAGAGAGTTGTGAAAAGCATGTTGGTGACGCACAGCAGGACAGAGAACAACGGTCTTCGGTGGTGTAAGGGATAAATCCTGGATGTCTGTGCAGTGGTTTGCACTGGTACTGAGTAACGGGTTCACCACCAGTACTTGTATATCTCCAATTTGTGGCGGGACGGATTAAATACGGCCTGCCTAGCATCCTGAATGTAGCTGAAAAGAGCAATTAACATGAGTCCGAGGAGGCGTCGACGTATCAAGGACAAGGGCACGGTAAGGTAAATTCCATGCCTTTGGTGCCTTTTGGCCCCCAATGGGGTTTGCGCGCGCAGCCATCGTTAGCGCATCCATCGGTAACAACTGCGCCTCACCTAGCATTGCGGTCGAATTCAAATTGCACGTTGTATTGTTTGTGGGGGAAATGGGGTGTAATGTATCACGAGTACTCCGTACGCATCTGCGGGCCCTCTGAACGTCTGCGGATTAGTCCGCAGGAGGTTTATATGCTTCGATCGGAGCCGCTGGGCAGCAAATGAACTGGTAGAAACCAAGCCCATCTCAAAACCCATCTCTTTATACAAACTATTATCATTTGCGTGACGCACAACTCGAAGAATTCTACACACATCATGCGTATCATGTTGGTGGGCATCTGCGCTGCAGTATTGGTAGCAAAGTGTGCCGCCCAACTGCCCGACTTGTCTATTGCGACAAACAACAGCTTAGAAGTTGACAACTTGTTCAGACGTGATGTCGCTTGTCCGGTGTGGCCATACTGGGGCCCGCCAACTCCAGATGACTTCTATCTTCGGATTCTGCCGCTTGGGGCGTCAATCGTTTGGGGCTACAGGTCTTCTGACAACAATGGGTATGATATAAACGTTACACACAATGAGGAAATCGGTTAATATGATCCAGGTTCCGTAAGAGACTTCGAGATACGCTTAGACAGGATGGCTGGAAGGTCAACATGGTCGGTTCTTTGCACAACGGTGACATGATAGATAATGTAAGTTTCCGCTCTCGCCAAGAAACTCAACCACCACGCTCACAAGATCTGCGACAGAATGTAGACGCAAAAATTGGCAACCGCATTGACCAGGTCCACGCGGCGTCAGCGTCCTCTACAATGTATCAACCTAATGTCATCCTTATCAACGCTGGCACCAATGATTGCCTACAAGCTTACGACATCCCTAATGCTGGGGCACGATACGGAGCAATGCTGGATGATCTTTACAATGCAATTCCTGGCGTCACAATTGTTGTATCAACTGTCCTGATTGGCAGCGCCACGGGCATTCCGCAATATAGAGACAGCGTTAATAGCCAGCTTAGGAACTTGGTCGCACAGAGGCTAAGCAATGGCCAGAAGATCGTCTTGGTTGACACGGATCAACCGGCGTCTTGGCTCACCATCAACTACATTGGTGATGATGGCATCCACCCGACTGACGCGGGCTATGAGAGATTAGCAGCACTCATGCGGAAAGGGATCTACGAGGGCCAAAAAACCGGCTTTCTAAGCGCGCCTGCGGAAACGCAGTGGAGCGACGATGGAAGTTCCCCCGGCGACAATACGTGCGACAAAGTATACGGCAATGGTCACGGTCCTGTAAACACCCAACAGGGCAGCGGCCTTGATGACGGGCCTTATGTGCACGATTCCGAGAGTATGGGTAGTGTGGCAACTATTGTGACCTCGATAAGGGCCAATTTCACATTCGCTCGAATAGCGAATGCGTTCGGCGCGCATGACCTCTTGGAAGTTACCGCATATCTGACTGACGATGGCTCCGGGCGATACTACAACTACTATCCAAATGATGGCAACGGTTCGTGGACAGTACGGCCCCAAGGTGAAGAACAGGAGCAGATTATTGTCCCTGATGCTTGCATTGCCAAAGGCGTGCGTTTTGTGGACATCAACGGTAAGTTGAACAGACGTACAGTAAGGCTGAAAGTTTGCTGACCATACGTTAGCTGATGGCTTGGATGATATGATATGTGTTGCCGTAGACGGGACAGCTTATGCCATGATCAATAATGGAAATAGGGGGTTCACGAATAGCGGCGAGGTCTGGAAGGCTAGCGAAGGTCCTAAGCAGGATCGCGTGCTGCTTGCGGATATTGATGGCGACGGTAGAGCAGACTACTGCACAATCGCTGACAATGGTGACATCTCTTGCTGGCGCAACGGTGGTCAAGGTGAGGCCGAGTCCCCGTTCCATATGTCGGCCTTCAAAGCAAGAAACGGTGGTGACCATATCATTAGGAAACATGCCAGAATATTGGCAAGAGCTGGGGGTTGTTGTCCAAGGAAAAGGCTTCGGCGATGTGAATGGAGTCCGATTCTTCGACCTGAACGGGGATGCACGTATTGTCGTTGTCCACTATACCCTATGCCAACAACTGACCCGTATTACAGGGCCGCCACGACTGGATGTGGATGGACGACACCGGTAAGACATGGACGTACACCAATAATAGAGCCTGCAGCAAGGGCACATTGGAACCGCTCTGGCGTGCGGGCTCAAACAAAGAGCTCGGGGAGGGGCCCACACACGCAGGAATGGGGAAGAATGTTGGCCGGAGTGCTATTCACTTTGCCAACGTGTTCAACGAGCCCGAGTCTATTGGTCTCTATGGACGCGGTGACTACATCTGGATGCGGGAGTTCCAGTCAGTTAGCCAGGGCCAGAGCTACTATTTGGTCAATGTCTGGAAGAACACGGGCAGTGGAGCGACAAAGCTGAAAGGTAAGTTGAGTCCCTCCCCACCACTGAGGCTTGGTCAGATGGAATGTTAATGCTGCATAGCCGACGGAGACAAGTACTGCAACATGATGGGACACAGTCCCCATGCAATGGACTACGTATGGGTTCATTCGACCGGCTGGATGATGCTCTACGAAAGCCTCGGCGGCACATTTCCCGTAAACCCTCCGTACTGGGGTCCTCACTATCAGATCTGGGCCGCCACCGACTATACTGGTGCTGAGATTGACCGAAGGGACTTGCACCTGGCAGACTGGGATGGCGATGGGTTATGTGATATCATCTATGTGAACCCGGACGACAACAGCTTGAGGGTATGGCTGAACCTGTACAAAGTGAACGGCAACTTCGATAAATGGACTGAAGCGGATGTTTCGGCCTATGACTTTGACTGCCCTGAAAAGCGAGGCGTAGGCATATACGACCTCGCTGTGCGCTTCGCCGACCTCGACGGTAACGGCAGGACCGATATCCTCTGCATCAAACCAAACGGCTTCACATCAGGCTGTCTGAACAACGCAGATGGCCCGGAGTACGTTTTGCAGATCAAGAAATCCGAGGACAAAGACAGAGCCAACTTCCATTGGGCGGATGTCAACGGCGATGGCCGCGCCGATCTACTGTGGGTGGACAAGTTCAATGGAGATGGTTACGTATACTACAACCAGGGCGAGACGCCGGTCGACGGCAGCCTGTTCACGTGGGAAGGCGAGGGCGCTGTGTATATGGGAAACGCGCAGGGGTCGTGTATGCACTATCCAGATCTGGACGGAGATGGCCGTGCTGATATGCACGTCGTGGACTCACTCGAGAACACAGCGCAGACCTGGTTCAATCTCTGTCCAAACGAAGGTTCTTCCTCGAATGGAGATGATCCAGATACGTTTGAGACGGTACCGGTGACTTGGCTGGGACTCACGTGATGGATGTAGTTTGGAGGAAGACAATATACAGTCGGTGCATACTAGTGGGCATTTGAGCACGATATATTCTTCTCTTATGGTCACGATCAGGTTTCGGGGTTTAGTCACTGCGATGGGGAATGGAAAGAGACTGGAGTCGTCGTTTCCAGAGTGCACTGGAAGCTTTTCCAGTGGAACCCATTTTTCAAAAATGTACGATGCTAGAGAACATAGTAATTCTTATTATATTACAGGCATATATTATCAAGAAGATGCCCCTAAGATAGGTTGCCTATAATTCGGTCAGCCTCCGGTCTCACGAGACCATTGAACCTCTGTTGAAGTTCTTCCTTATCGCGACTAATGGCCTGAATGCTCTCTTCCTTTGTCGTTATCGTCCGTTGGAGCTGCTAAGCAATTTGCAGTTGCTTATGCTTGCTTCGCTCTCGAAGCTCCAGCTCCGACTTGGCTTTTATAACCTTGCCTCTTAGTTCCTCCAGCTCCCTTTGGTCCTTTACTGCCAGTTGATTTAACTCAACCTGTGTAAATATATTACGATTCGGCTCTTAAGGTTGTGACAATAGGCCAATAGGTTAGGTTAGACTGGATTAACTATAGACTGATAGATTAATGAAGATAGTTATATATAACGTCCTGACCCAATATTCTAATAGTATAGGGTAGTTCCTAAGGTAATATTCTAAGGTAAATTAGTTTATATTAGTGTTACGACCCAACCTCTTATGACACTATAAACAGGCATCCCGGATTATCTGTCGGACCGTTCCAGCCAGTTAAAAGAAGGAACGACTACGCAGCATCGTTCCTCCCGAAAAGGAATGACTAAGCTGTGTCGTTCTAATATAAAAACAATAGTTAACTAACGTTCTAAGCACATACAGGAACAATATACTATATTGTTCCCTAAAAAACGACTGGATATATAAGATTTAGTTCCCCACGCTCTTTAGATAACTTAGATAGACAGTCGTTAATAAAGCATTAAGATTAAATACAGACTAAATCTTTATTACATCTTACTTACTTCGTGATTACATCTGCTTAAAGCTACTCCCTATCCTCTCTGCTAACATAAACTAATTGACCTTGGCTTATTACCTTGGGAACTTACTGTTATGAACTAACACATTTATGGTCGCAACAGCAGGCCTATAGGGTAGGCACTACGGAACTATAATAGGCCAAAGGACTAATCATAGAATAGCTTACGTAACAGTAAGTAAGCCAGAGTAAGCTACTTCCTAATTAGGAAACCAGCTTACTCTATACTAAGTAAACTTAAGTAAGCTTTATACTATATATTTATTTTACAACGCTCGTTTAGAATAGTTTAAATAGCTAGTTATAAATATAGAATAACGCTTAATTATACTACGAACGTATTATCTACTAGTTATATAAACAAACCCTCTTATCCTTGTAATTGCCTGCCAGTCCAGCCTAGCATATCCGCCAACATAAACCTAGTATAAGGTTTATCCCTTAGGAATTCCTCTTTAACACTATAGGAGCTGAGCTTGTCACACTTACCCTATACTATTAGAGTATTGGGTCGGGACGTCACAAGTAGATAATTATAACGCGGTTTATTAATCCTCTTAGTTTACCAAGCTGGTAATAGATATAATATATTGTCTATATAAAGCTCTTTATTACACTAGCGCCTTCCTCTAGCTCCGTATATTTTACTCCCTTGGGCTGTTATTAAGCTTAAAACGCTTTTGTTAATGATGGAGATTCTTCCCCCGAAATTATAACTGGATTAACGCTTTCGGCTAGATTAGAGAAATTAGTGTTATTAGCTTCGTGGCAGCCAGAATTGTAAGCTATTATCACCGGCCCCCAGCGTATTAAAAAGTAGTTATATATCCTAGACATTAGGTAAGCAGGTATACCGTAAGATTATTAATTTAAGCTGGAATAAATATGGGCCATACGGTCGATATAATGTTTGCATTGTATCAGTTAGGGTTCTAGTAATAGATAGAGACTATAATATCGAGATGCAAAATCCCTGCTTTATAGCTTGGCTTTTTAGTCGCGAAGGTTATGCCATCAAATCATAGCATACCAGTCATTAATTGCATATGCAGAAAGAACTTTAAATAAGTGTGATAAACTCAGATGCCGTCTCCCATAGATTAAGATAGTCGAATATACCATAGATGAAGCCTTTCAGTGGACTAGCTCTTATAGCTGTAGTAATCCTCGCATTTTATTTATCTGTAAATATTATCTCTATATTTGAAATCACTGGTGAGGATAAACCTTCCAGGCATTTTCCAACAGCTCCCTCACTGTATGCGTTCTGATTGCTGGAAACACATCGTTCAATGTCTTCTCTGGCTTCAGATCAAATGCACCAGCTTCGATCAGCAAACTGTAGGGAATAACAAAGCCTTGGAATTGGTCCTTGGGGAAGAATTTATATGCTTCTACTTGACCTGGAAGTTCCGTCCACCGGCCAGCTTTTAGGTCCTCAACAGAGTCATGTGATACTTTGAACTTAGTCCCTGCGTTTTTGCAGAAAATTAGCCTGATCATTCCATGTGAACAGAGCAGAATGGGATGGGATTTTGTACATACCTTTAGCAGCCTCAGCAAGCTCTACAAACTCATTAAGAGTCACCTTATCGCAGCTGACAAAAGTCTCTGGCTCCCACCTCTCAAGGTCCAGGCTCGCATTGATGAGCTCGCCGACGTCAGATGTATGACTATACACCACGGGAGTATTGCCAGCGCCGGGGATCGAAGCTTCGTTGTGTACCATGTCTACGAACAATGTAGCGGGGACTAGGTACGTTGTTATGGCTGGCGAGACATAGTAGTCGAGGAAATAACCGGGGTAGACTACTGTGCTTTCGAGAGTCTTGGCCGCTCGCAAAGCTTCTTTCGCACGGAGCTTACGTACAACCTGAAGTTGATTGCTCTGACTACTCACCGAATAATCAATATCAGCAACGGGATTTTCAAAGAAAAAAAGCAAATGCCACTAATAGAACTAAAGTAATGTAATTCTTACTCATCTGTGTTTGGGATGCCCCATTCGCTAGAGATAATCCGCTTGGTTGACTTAGACGCATCGGCCGCACGAATGAGCTCTATCTCAGGAGGTTCTCCTTCGGTGGTCCGCATATTTATGGTGGAGATGATGGTGTGGACGCCATGAGCCTCCAGGGTTTTGGCTAGTTCCGGGACGTTCATGTAGTCGACTGCAATGATGGGAGCGCCTAGTTTGGCAGCGAGAGCATCGTCAGACTTGAGACATACCAGGTCAGCTCATAATGATAAAAACAAAATATTTGGCTAGAGAACTGACTCTTCTTGCTAAAACAACAGCCTCATGCTTTCCGTTTGCAACGATGCTATTGACGATAGCCCGACCGACGCCTCCTGTCCCCCCGGCAATAGCAACTGTAACCATGATGAATTTGCGATTGTTCCAATCAGCTTTTCTATAATTTAATGAGATAAAAATCAAATATCAAGGTATTGTCTTTTTGCTGCTTAGATTTTACTTGAACCTTGGAACATGTAAAAGGCTGGAAAGGGGAGATTAGTCGCCTGATTATGTACTGTCACGCATGGTTCAACCTTTTGTTATGTTACTACTATATACCCAGGAGTTATGGAAAAATATGATATATGTAAATTTACACTGCCAAACGACGGCCCTACGCGACCTCCGGTTATTCTACATGCCGCCGCATCCGGCTACATGCTATGACGCCTAGAGAAAATACGACGGATTGATCTCTTAACCTTCGTACTGATCACTTGATTTACAATCAATGATCTGCTATTGGATTTATAATCGCGCAAAATCTGAAAACTAGTCATTGATGAAATTCGGGACAAGGATCAAGCTCTCTTAGCCGCGAACTAATGGGAGGTGAACGCGGAGTTCCGAGTACATTACAACTCATTTTCATAGAAAAGTGGTCTCCAAAGATATTATTAAGTAAGGTCCACATATCTAAAGACGCGTTACCAACCCAAACCCTCGTAGCTCTGTCGGATGGTCCGATGCTCGAGGAAAGAGTCAAATCCCTGTCACGCTACTGTTACTATCATCGTCTCTGATGGAGCCGCAAGTCGTACTGTGCTTCATTCGGTGAATGGGTGCATATTCATCCCTTACGTTTAACCTAAGTGTCTCGAGGTTGTAATACAGGAGAGTATGTCTGCTGCTGCAAGGCGGTGTTTTACATTCAATCAGGGGCTTTCTCTGAACGGTGACACCAAATACACACTTGGTGTTTCTCTAGCCAAAGGCGCCGGCACGTTATCAACCGCCAGAGGCCTGTGTATTATGGACGTTAATGAGTAGGGCCATGTATAAAAATTGGCTGTTGCCATGACGAAGGATCTGGATGACGAAGGGCATTGTATTCTGGGAAGCCTATCGGGTCTCGGAGTTTCTGGTGCTGTCCAAGCACGACTTAGCGCTGACTTGGGGGAACATTTTCAATTGCTTTTGCAAAAGGACATGCGAGATGCTGTCTAGGTACTGGTGCTTGATGGCTTAGGGTGGGGAAGGATTACTATGTTTGGAAGGCCTGAAACAGCTCTGGCGAGTAACCGAGTTCACACCCGAAGCCATTCGCATTATCTGGCACTGACTAGCACATCGTAGCTGTGTCTTGCTGCCTAATCTCAATGAAATAATTTAGGCTCAGATGTGACATCAGAGCTTGGGGAGAATATTAACAGGTTATTCGGAGTTCGGAGTTCTGAGTTCCAAGGTATTGCTGCCGGCCCGACATCCTTTGTGGTTGGGTAATGGAAATTCCACGGGTATACGGAGTAAACCGTTGCGCTTACTGATGACTGCAGCTAGGGTTCGACTGATCTTGACTCGCGTGTTTCAGTGCAGCTAAAGGGCTTTAATGTTCAGCCAGGATTCATTAGCATCCATCCTATTCCATTGTACCAAGGGTGTGCATCTTGCTCAGCAGAGTAAGGAATATTACTAGCATCCACTTCTTACTAATTACTAAGGCAAGAGCTATGGGCTACTACGAATCTATTTCATACATCACGAGACAACTTATCTGGCTTATCACAGCCACTACTTCTGGACTTGGTGCTGCTCTTGTCGAGCAACTCGTTACCAGAGGTGACAAGGTTGTTTCAAAGGGTGAGTAACAACCTCGATATGTCGTTAGATCAGATTCGCTAAGAACCCATGCCGCATGAGGGTTAGAACTTTACAAGCTATTTGCATGAAACAACCCCAGGAATAGCACCAGCGTACGTAAGGGCCATGATACAGCTACCGACTCTTCTAGATCGACGGAACTATTTCAACGCTAAGTCTATAGCTCGAAAGTCAATTAAAAAGTAAATGACTTGTTGTAGTGACACTAAGCTCTTGCAGTCCCTCTGTGGCCTACCAATACCTGTTACGGATTTATGATTATGACAAATCACTCTGTTGCTTAGAAAGCTGTAACATTGTTGCAAGGTAGGGAATTTTGTAACGCCGTTTTTACTCCATAAATAAGCCTTCTTGCCCGTCATTTAGAGTACTACTATCATCTACTCTTAACTTATCTTATCTTTCAAAATACAACAATGCTTGTTCTCATCGCCGGAATCACTGGCAACTTGGGCACTCGCCTGGCAAAAGCAGCAACCTCACGGGGTTTGCAGGTCCGAGGTTTGGGTCGTGATCGCACGAAGCTTGATGAGAAGAGGACTGGAATTATTGAATCATTCGTCACCTCTCAGACTTATTATGATATTCCTGCACTCGAGACAGCAGTTAAAGGCGTTGATGCTGTTATCTGCGCCTATTCACCCACCGCTATACTGGACTTGGAGGGCCACCTCCTTCTCTTCCGTGCCGCCGAACGCGCAGGCGTCACTATCTTCCTCGCTTCGTCCTGGGGCCACCCTTTGGATAAAATATCTTTTGGCGAGTATGAACACTACGACACTCATATTGCATTCAAACAACAGGTAGCAATGACTAGCTCTGTAAAGCCGGTCTTCATGAATGTCGGAATATTCGCCGATCTTCTATACGGTCCTTTTGGCCCAGGTGGCTGGGACACGACCGGTCTAAATCCCATAATTGAATATTGGGGGCAGGGAAACAAGCGGAAGATCCATTGGTCTGAGCTCAATGACGTGGCTGAATGGACGATTGATATTCTGCAGAGCAAGGATGTACAGGCGGGCAAGGGCGGCATATATCAAATGCAATCCGGGGCTTCTACTCTTGAAGAGTTTGCAGCAACTTGGACGAAGGTGACTGGAGAGGAAGTTCACCTCGTCCACCGAGGCAGCTTGGAAGATCTCGAGTCGTTGGTTTACACAGCGCGTAAGGAAAAAGGTACGGGCCGCTATATCGAGTACCTAGTTAATGCGACATCACTCCTCCACACAAGAGGAGCGTTCGTTATGACTGAATTTGACTTCACAGAAAGCTCAAAGGAACGCATTACTTTAGAGGAGTATGTAACAGCACTTCTTACGAACCGCAATACTGTCCAGGAGTATATTAAACAGCTTGAATCAGCGCACTAAAATTAAAATATATTTAATATTATAGAGTTTATATTTATAATTAGAATAACAGGTTAGGAAAACTGTAATAGCTGGTTTAGAGGAAGGCTACGCCCCAGCCTTTAGTTTAAAATCCAGAATTAATTTGCAAATTGATGTAATTAGCAGCAGCTAACTAAATTAAACCTTAAAGATTTAGGTATAAAGTATGACTGATAAAGGTTTAAGACTGAACTTAAAATATATATGCAAAAAGACCCGAATACGAAGGTTCAACCACAGCACAACTTATGGTTTAATAAGTTAACCAAGCCAGATAGGCAAAAGACCACGCAACGAACAACACAATCTAACCACTTCTTGCTGCGCTCATAGCAATAGCCACAACCCGATCGCAACCTGATATAGCAAGATGGCTGAACGAATAACCAAATCCACAATTAACAAGATCGCAAACCCGCAATTAAAAGCTTCTAAGAAGGAAAGACTGAATGTTACGACCTGATCCGAAAGTACGTACCTTTCGGGAAAACCACGGAAGGAATAGCTAATTACAACAGATCTTTATAAGCTTACTAAAATACATATATTATAGCATATAAGCCTTAATATTAAGGTTACAGGCTTACTAGGTATAATAAAACTTTATTAAGTAAACTACTAAGAATAACTAGATATATAAGATTTAATTCTCTACGCTCTTTAAATAACTTAAATAAACGGTTGTTAATAAAGCATTAAGATTAAATATAAACTAAATTTTTATTATATTTTACTTACTTTATAATTACATTTACTTAAAGCTATTTTCTATCCTTTCTGCTAATATAAACTAATTAACCTTAGCTTATTACCTTAGGAACTTACCTTATATTATTTAAGTATTAGGTTAAGATATTATATATTAATAACTTTTATTTCGAAAAATACTAAATACCTTTAAGTAATATAAACTACTATACCTAGATTTAGCTTAACTACTAATACCTTAGCTATTAAACCTAATATATTTATAGTTAATAAAAACGGAAATATTACTATAAAAAACTTACTTAATATTTTATTCTTTAAGAATAAAAAACTTTTAG